AAATTTTGTATTTACTTCTTAGTAAAGAAGTTTATCCATTTTATAAAATACAAACGTTTGATGACTTTAGATTTTATACACCATACCGATACTTGAACAGTCTTATTCAACTAATTAACACAATTCTTCAAAGTTGGAATCAATATTGATATCTTCGAAGATTGCTATATTTTGCATAAGTCATTTCTATCGAGTACAGTATTCATTTATAGAAGGATTTTTTAGTTTGCACATACGTAACGATAATACCTATATGTGCTTTATTCCATAATAATCAAAATTTTATCTTATTACTGATTGCTCAGATTTATTTACATTGAAAAATCAATCTGACTTTGCTAGCTGATGAATTAATTTTAGAACGATTTCATGAATTTTCGGTTAAGATAAATTTTCAACAGTTATAAAATAATTGCCGTTGAAGGTAATTTATCTGTTTATAGAACACGGTGGTAATGTGCTCGTGCTTGTCAAAAATTCTTTTTTTGGCGGTAGCTCAAAAAAGGTCACTTCTAGAATAAACGGCGGCGGCGTCTTAACAAAAATAAATTTAGTAGTTGGTAGAATAAGACAAAAATAATATGATATCTGCGTGTATATAACGAAATATAGTGCTAGCTATAAATCACTGTACGTAACCTTGCACGGACTGGTCTAATCAAAGTCTTTACGGGAAATTTGAACTCCCTCAGATGTTGAATTGCTTCAAGATAAACTCAAATTATTTTTGTTGCTAGGTTCTCGTTTAGAGGCATTCACTTCTGCTTTTATGGAGCTTTTGATTGAAAAGAATCAAATTTGGTTCGGATCGCCAAAAAAGCTAGGTGTCGAATATGAAAAAATTCATAGAATAAGGACCAGTTATCCTTGCAACAGGCAGATACACAGTAGATTTTCAAATGATGGTCATAAATGATTCTTGCAATTGGCGACAATTTAGAGAAAGTTCAAGTTCACCCAAAAGAACCCATACTAAAATTAAATATTGGCTGCTGAAATACTTCGTGAAGTTAGTAGACTTGAATGAAGAAAAAAGCGATCCTGTGATGAATTTGGTGTCACTGGAGAGATATGGAAAATTAAACTTGTTCTCAATGGCAAAATATCAAAAGAATTCGAATGACATTACAAACATTACGTCGGTCGTGGATAGATGAAATTTTAACGTCAAAGAGGTTGCCAAGGAAAGCGGAATTTCCCTAGCACAAACAAAGCTACCTTGACGAATATAATGACTTGCTGAAGATGAAAAGAAAGAGCTTTATGGTAAGAAATTTTCCATAATTTCCCATTTACATGTTGCCATAATGAGTCCTATGCTATGGTAAATACTATTTGAGACGTTTATTTTTCAATTTCTTTTTGATTAAAAATGTATTGCGAATAAACAGGGTGGGGTGGTGTCGAGACACCAGTGTCGAGACACCAGTGTCGAGGGTAAAGTAATCCTGTGACTTATCGCCGCCAGTGAATTTGCTGGAGGTGTACATGGTGCATAGCTCGGGTGTGTAGTCGCTGAAGGTGCATCTCGCTATTTATTCCAGCATTTGTCTTCCACCGAAACCGCGGATGGTCGTCTTGATCATATCAATTTGTGTTTGTGTCTGTAAATCCAAGCTTTCAAAAAGTTTGTATTAGATTTCTTGGACTAGAAAGAAGCTGCTGCAATCGCATCAACTGATTCTGTACCAACTCAAGCTACACACACTCGTCCCTGCATCTGCAGTAATCAAAGAACATAAGAAAGACAATAATTGCTGGTAGTTTTTTAATGGAGAAGCATTCGTTATCAATTTTGTCTGATCACCCTGGTGGCAAGAGAGCTGTCCTTCTTTAAGCCAGACGTGAGGAGTTCAATATGATCATGAAAAAAATGTATGCATGTGGGAGTAAGTTGATAGAAACCAAGCAAATTAGTTTTGAGATCATCTGTTTTATTTTAATGTAATTAATGTGCAAATGTTTATCTCAAAGATTTAAAGATAGAATTATCGTAGATTAACGTTAACGTTGATGAAATTTCGCGCAGTAAATATTATCGATAAGACTATTCCTTTTTGATTTCTTATAATGTGATTAAAAAATTTTTCTCAATTCGTCATTTTATTTCTCTACGACGCCTAATCTTAACGACTTTAATCATTCAGATAAAATAGCAAACAAATGGCAAACAATTTTGTTTCTCCACGATTAATCAGGCAAAACGCCTTTATAGATATTAACAACAGCTTTAATCATGTCATAAACAACTTTATCAACAATAACAACAATAATATGCCGCCATTAGTCAGGCAAAATGGATTCATCGTTCTTCTTCCTCCTCAACAATCAAACACAATAGCATCACCACCACCACAATCAGTATCACAACAACAATTGTTACCAACACCGCCGCCACTAGTCAGGCAAAATGGATTCATCGCTCTTCTTCCTTCTCAACAATCAAATACAACAGTATCACCACAACAACAGTCGCTGCCAACATCGCCGCCGCCATTAGTCAGGCAAAATGGCTTCATCGCTCTTCCTCCTCCTCAACAATTAAATAATCCAACAGTATCACCACAACTAACAACACCACTACAATCAGGATCACAACAATCGCCACAAGTGCCGCTGTCGTCATTAGTCAGGCAAAGTGGCTTCATTGTCCTTCCGCCGCCGCCATTAGTCAGGCAAAATGGTTTTATCGTTCTTCCTCCTCAACAATCAAATCCAACAGTACAACAATTAGGATCACAACTACAGTCACCGCAAGCGCCGTCGCCGCAATTAGTCAGGCAAAATGGCTTCATTGCCCTTCCGTCTCCACCATTAGTCAGGCAAAATGGCTTCATCGCCCTTCCACCGCCACCATTAGTCAGGCAAAATGGCTGCATCGCCCTTCCTCCTCCTCAACAGTCAAATCCAATATCATCAATATTACCACTACAAACACAACAGTCCCCATCAGTACCAACGCCACAGCGTCAAACCTCTCGCGTTGCGACACGATTTTCGCAAAGACTCGCCTCCAGAAACAGACAGTTCAATGAACGGGCATCCAAAAGGATCGCTCGTGAAAGGATCTCTCAATACTACAATCGGTAATTAATGCAATGTTTCATTTAAAATATTGTGACATGGTTTTTTTTGCGCACTCAAAATTTTAACCGAGCCATTATGCTACTGTTTATCACATAAATAGGCGCTATGTCTCGTGTAAATAATAAATACTTGTTTAAACTTTGGAGAAAAATTAATCAAACGAACATTTTCTGATGTTTTATTTTCATCAACATCTTATTATAACTGAAGAGCTTTACGCGTTTTTTGCAACATACAATGTTTCATTGCGACATTTTTTATTTTTGGAATATCATGCCGCGCAACCTCATTCGAACTCAACACATGGAAAGAAATTATTACTTTTTTACAGAAAAAGACAAGCTTCATATAAAATTTGGTTTGGTTTGATTGAATTTTCGATTTATTCGGGATTTTTGTATATCAATTGTATGTCTATTCGATATGAATTCAAAAAGCAAATGGATTGTAATAAGTGAATGTGATTTGGTAATTTGCTGGTCGGTTTTTATGGTGGTGTCTTTGTTGAGAGAACTGGTTATATTGCGATAATGTTAAAATGGCTGGATTATAGACTTTTAAGAAAGTAACATATAATCAAAGGGGAAGGGGTGTACAAATAAGAGAATCTTAATCTTGACCAAGGAGTTTAGGATATTATCCTAGACATCCCACGTGGTTTGAATATAGTTTGGAAAAATTATATTGAAAAACAATTACATTAAAGGTTAATTGTAAGGGTTAAAGTTAACATTTAAGGACAAGTTTATATGTAAAATTGCCTTTTTGACATTTTTATCAGTGTTTAGGCCATATTTTGACATCTGTTATCTATTTTTTTTTACATTTTTCGATTTTTCATTAGAGCAATAGCATATTATTATTAAAGGATGATATTATTTGTTGATATAAATTTTCAAAGAATCAATTTCTGATCATAAATATTTTCCAATAATTAATTAAGAATATTATATAAATTATCAAATTAAACACTATTTTAGCATTATAATTTACAATCAAACTAAATGAAATTTTTACTTATCTTCAATGCTATTCACTTATAAAATAATATAACAAAGTATAACAAGTTTATTTTACTTATAAATAACAAGCAAGTTATAATAATTAAAATTATCAAATGAGCTTGTATAATAAATAAACTAGAAATTAATAGATTATTAATATATTAAAATATTCAAAAATAAAATTTTAATAAAGAAAATAAAAATATAATATTTAATAAAAATTACACTAATTAAAATATTAAAAAACTTCTAAAAAATTCATATAATAAAAATTATTTAAAACTTTTTTTTGAAAATAATAAATCAAAATTAAAAAGTATTACCAAAATAGATTTGTTATTAAACTAATAATATTTTTAGTTATATTTATTTATAATTATATTTTTCTATAATTATTTTATTTTGCTTATTTGTTTATATATAAATATAATAAAAAATTTTTTTATAATTTTTCCAAGTATATAACTATAAAAAAGTTTAATTATATAAAATATATTATTAAAATATATTAAAAATTTTTTATAATTATTTAATAATTTAATCAAAATATCAAAACTCATTTTAATTATATATAAATATTTTATTTAAAAACAAAAAAATATTTTTATTATAAAAATAATATAATAGTTATAGTAACAAGTAAAAATAATATAATAATATCAAAATTAATTAATTAAATATAATAAAATACAAAATTTTTATATAAAAGTTTTTAATTTTACTAATAAATATTTTTTATTTTTATATTAAATAAAGATATTTTAACATATTTTTTTCGAATTTAATCTGATAAAGTTATTTTAATTATAAAAAAATAATTAATTTTATATATAATTAGAACAGATTTATCAGATTAAATCTAAAAAAATATATGTTAAAATATATAATATTATCTTCATTTTAATATATAAAAATAAAAAATATTTATTAGTAAAATTGAAACTTTTATATAAAGAAAAAATCTGTATTTAATTAATAAATTTTGATATTATTGTATTATTTACAAGTTTATCTAATATTATAAATATACTGTAAGAATACTTTCTTATGTGAAAAGCAATAAGATAAATTTATTAATTATTATAAATAAATTATATCAATTGAGACAGTTTTCAGTTTTAATTTTAATAAAGCTTATTTCTTTATTTATTAAATAG